GCGCGAGTTTTTTTTTTGCTAGCAATATCGCGGCGCAAAAGGTTTGGTAACCCCATGCACCCGGATGAAACTGAGCAATGACGCGGTGGTTGTAAATGGGGGCTCGTGATTGGTCGAAAGGCAAGCAAACACCTTCGCCCAACCCCTGGCTCTCTCTCAGCTCAAACGGCTAAGGGAAAGTTGCTATCAATTTTTGTAAATTGGGACCCAGGCGAGACTGACTAGTGACTAGAAACTAGCCAGCATACGAGGTTTCTCGCGCGCGTAGCCAAGCCTAGACGAAACTGCGCGCCATAAGGAATGATAGCGATAATGACGCAGATCCCGCGACGACCGGCTAGGCATTGCGAACCGCGCATAATTCATCCCGAGGGACGAAGTGGCGTGGGAGCAGGGACGGAGAGACGCGACAGCAGGGACGGAGAGACGCGATAGCAGGGACGGAGAGACGCGATAGCAGGGACGGAGAGACGCGACAGAACCTACCAAGTGACGCGATAGCACAGAGTGGCTGAGGCGAAAGCAGGGAGGAAGCAGCGAGGGCAGGGGAGGGAGAGCGGAGTGAGCGCGCGGGAGGGAGAGCGGAGTGAGCGCGCTGGAGGGAGCGCGGAGCACGGGAGGGAGAGCGGAGTGAGCTCGCGGGAGGGAGAGCGGAGTGAGCGCGCGGGAGGGAGAGCGCGTGAGCGCGCGGGAGGGAGAGCGGCGTGAGCGCGCGGGAAGAGCGGCGTGATCGCGCGGGAGGGAGAGCGGCGTGATCGCGCGGGAGGGAGCAGCGTGAGCGCGGGAGGGAGAGCGGCTTGATCGCGCGGGACGGAGCAGCGTGAGCGCTGGAGGGAGAGCAGGGGCAGCGGAAGGGGAAAGGGGAGAGGGGTGAGAGCAAGGGCAGGGGTGAGAGAGACGAGTGAGAGCAGGCGAGGGGGAGAGGCAGGAGAGCGAGGGAAGGGGAGAGGGGTGAGAGTGGAGTAAGGGGAGAGGAGAGAGAGCAGGGTAGAGGGAGAGGAGTGCGAGCAGGAGAGGGAGATAGGAGTGAAAGCAGCGAGGGAGGGAGGGAGTGAGAGCAGGCGAGGGGAAGAGGAGTGAGGGCAGGGGCAGTTGGAGAGGAGTGAGAGCAGGGGAGGTGGGTAGGTGTGAGAGCAGGGGAAGGGAGAAGAGTGAGCGCAAGGGAAGGGGAGAGGAGTGAACTTTGGGACAGGGAAGATGAGAGAGAGCAGGGTAGGGGGAGAGGAGTGCGAGCAGGGGAGGGAGGGAGGAGAGAGGGCATGGGAGGGTGAGAGGGAGTGAGAGCAGGGGAGGGAGAGAGGGAGTGACAGCAAGTGAGGGGAAGAGGAATGAGAACAGGGGAGGGGGGGAGGAGTGCGAGCAGGGGAGGGAGAGAGGAGTGCGAGCAGGGGAGGGAGGGAGGAGAGAGGCCAGGAGAGGGAGAGAGGGAGTGAGAGCCGGGGAGGGGGGGAGGAGTGAGAGCGCGGGGGGGGGAGAAAAGTGGGAGCAGGGGAGGGGAAGAGGAGTGAGAGCAGGGGAGGGAGAGAGGAGTGCGAGAAGGGGAGGGAGAGAGGAGTGCGAGGTGGGGAGGGAGAGAGGGTGTGAGAGCAGGGGAGGGGGAGAGGAGTGAGAGCAGGGGAGGGAGGGAGGAGTGAGGGCAGGGGAGGGAGAGAGGGAGTGTGAGCAGGGGATGGGGCAGCAGGAGAGGGGGAGAGGTTTGCGAACAGGGGAGGGATAGAGGAGTGCGAGGTGGGGAGGGAGAGAGGGATTGAGGGGGATGGGGAGATGAGTGAACGGGAGGAAAGGGGAGAGGAGAGAGAGCAGGGGAGGGGGAGAGTAGAGAGAGCAGGGGAGGGGGGGAGGAGTGAGGGCAGGGCAGTGGGAGAGGAGTGAGAGCAGGGGAGGGGGAGAGAAGTGAACGTGGGGAAAGGGGAGAGGAGGGAGGGCAGGGGAGGGGGAGAGGAGTGCGAGCAGGGGAGGAAGGGAGGAGTGAGGGCAGGGGAAGGAGAGAGGGAGTGTGAGCAGGGGATGGGGAGAGGCGGTAGAGCAGGGGAGTGAGGAAAGTTGCAGGGGAGGGAGAGAGGCGGACCAGGAGAGAAGGGATGGGAGAGAGGGGTGAGAGCAGGGGAGAGGAGAGCGAGGGGAGGAGAGCATGTGGATGCGAGAGGGGGAGCATGAGAGCAGAGAGGGAGGGGGAGCATGAGAGCAGGGAGGGAGGGGGAGCATGAGAGCAGGGAGGGAGGGGGAGCATGAGAGCAGGGAGGGAGGGGGTGCATGAGAGCAGGGAGGGAGCGAGGCATGAGAGCAGGAGTGAGTGAGTGAGGCATGAGAGCAGGGAGGGAGTGAGGCATGAGAGCAGGAGTGTAGGGAGGGCGGAAGGTAAGGAGGGCAGGAAGGTAAGGAGGCAGGTTGCAGCTGCCCGCTTCCCGCCTCCCGCTGCGTCCTGCTGCCCACTTCTAGCTTCCCGCTTTCCCGCTCCCCGCTGCGGCCCGCTACTGGCTTGCCTCTCCCGCTCTGTGCTTCCCTGCTGCCTCTGGACTGCCCGCTCCGCTCTTCCCTGCTCGGGTTTTGGATTGGAAGGGTTTGTGTGGGCCTGGATATGGGTAAGCTTTCGTATGTGTGGGCATGAATAGGTGCATGCATGTACCCTGTCTTTTCCCTGAATGTCCTTCCCATGTTTCTCATCCTGTGCTCCCTCCCTCCCTGCTCCCTCCCTCCCCTTCCCTCATCCCTTGCTTCCCTCTGCCCCAACTCGCAGTGCCATTCCAGCTGCATCCATCATGGCCGTCTGACTCCTCACCATTACACAACGGCCCTCAAACCACGCTTCATGCTTGGTGGTTTCGGGTTGTCATGCGAAGCTGACCACCTTTTGTTCATGCATGATGATGTGCCTATGTGTCACACTCTGTAAGACTAATGACCCACATTAGGTTATGTTGTGAAATTATCCTTCCAACATGCTATGCACCTCAACAAATGTTGGCCTCGTGTGACACGTTGTCCTACACTACACATCATGGATACAGAAGTGTAGACCCCTGTCAACACTATCGATCCCTCTCTGGTGCCTGCTTATGTGCACTGCTACCACTGCCACTCTTCTCCTCTTGAGACATGGGGCTGGATGGGGGAAAGGGGGATGGAAAGGTAAAACAGACGAGGGAGAGCATTGTGAGTGCAAGGCATATAGCACAACAGATAGGTGGGACGAATGCAGGCGGAAAGCACACTGGGAGGAAGAATGCAGGCCGAAAGCACACTAGGAGGAAGAATGCAGGGGGAAAAGCACCCTGGGAGGAAGAATGCAAGGGGAAAGCATACTGGGAGGAAGAATGCAGGGGGAAAGCACACTGGGAGGAAGAATGCAGGGGGAAAGCACACTGGGAGGAAGAATACAGGGGGAAAGCACACTGGGAGGAAGAATGCAGGGGGAAAGCACACTGGGAGGAAGGATGCAGGGGGAAAGCACACAGGGAGGAAGAATGCAGGGGGAAAGCACACTGGGAGGAAGAATGCAGGGGGAAAGCACACAGGGAGGAAGAACTGGACACCTAGATACATATTACCACCACCCATTCTATATCCCCTCCATGTGACCTCTCCCTCTGCCCTCATCCTGGTTGCTTGACCTCTCTGCCTGGGACCCCATGCCCTCTCACATCCGCACCCTTGTCCGCTCTCTCCACCCGCTCTCTCCACCCGCTCTCTCCACCCGACTCTGTCCCAACCCTCTCCGTAGCCGCACCCTCTTCCTCTCTCTGGCTCTCTTTATCTGCCTCCCTTACTCTCTCTCGCTTCATTCCCTCTCTCTCTCTCTCTCTCTCTCTCTCTCTCTCTCTCTCTCTCTCTCTCTCTCTCTCTCTCTCTCTCTCTCTCTCTTCTCTCTCTCTCTCTCTCTCTCTCTCTCTCTCTCTCTCTCTCTCTCTCTCTCTCTCTCTCTCTCTCTCTCTCTCTCTCTCTCTCTCTCTCTCTCCTCTCTCTCTCTCTCTCTCTCTCTCTCTCTCTCTCTCTCTCTCTCTCTCTCTCTCTCTCTCTCTCTCTCTCTCTCTCTCTCTCTCTCTCTCTCTCTCTCTCTCTCTCTCTCTCTCTCTCTCTCGGAGTAAGCTCAGCAAGCACTGCTCTGCTCCCCCTCCCTCTCGCTCTGCGTCCCCCTCTCACTCGCTCTGCATCCCTCTCACTAGCTCTGCATCCCTCTCACTCGCTCTGCATCCCTCTCACTCGCTCTGCGTCCCCCTCTCACTCGCCCTGCATCCCTCTCATTCGCTCCGCATCCCCCTCACTCGCCCCCCTCTCACTAGCTCTGCATCCCCCTCTCTCTCGCCCTGCGCCGTCGGTCGTGGATGCGTCGCGGATATGCCTCTGGACGGTCGTTTCTATTGGTAAAATGGCCTAACTGGAGTAGCGCTGCCTCTCGCTCTATTTGCAGCGCCATTGCTAGCCGACTTTACGTTTGCTCTCACATATCCCCGCTACGCCTAGGTGAACGCGTACGCGTAACTCAAATGGCGAGCCATTTTGCGATCCACCGATATTAGACTTGCGCAAAAGATATCCACCGATAGAAGGCCTGCGCGCGACAATTTATTGATGAGAAATAGACTGGGTGCGAGCCTACTCTGATTTTCTGGCAAAAAAAGAACACCACGCTACCAGAAGTCTCGATATTACATGCGTATGGGCTGCGGAAATGCCTTCTGCGTGTTTGCCGCTGTGTTGTGGCTCGTTGATGCTGTGACGCGTTAGCTTAGGTCGTGTGCTGCTGTGTTGCTGTTGACCATCTGTTGTGCTTCACTTGTTTTCCTTCCCCAACCTCCTCGGAGTTTTGGTTAGCGAACTTCAAATTTGCATTTGCGAGTTTCGCAAACCGATTTCCAGACTCTGAGCTCTCGCCATCCCCGCAGCCAATCGCAAGCCACTAGCCCCAACCCAAGCCGCGCTCTCTTTTGCGGCTTGTAACTTGGGACCTGGGCTTTAATCTGAGAATGGTTGCCTAGGGTTCTAGGGTAGAATGGCTGCCGACACCAGGATACACGTATAATGCAGGCTCGGAATGAGTGAAGATTAGCCAGCTATCGCCGACCGACGGCTGGTTATGGATTTAGTAGGTTCCGAATAAGCGCCGACAGCAAGGCCCCAAGTTAGTACCACAGTGGAAGCTGGGTATGGATTTAAGATCCGAAGAAGCGACAGCAATTCGTAGTACTGATAGGCAAGGGGCCTCGGTTCCGACTTTTCAACGGCTAGAAACCGCAGTCGCGATAACTCTCGCTCTTTCGTTCTCTCTCGTCTGGTTACACACTCCTCGCCGACCCTCTCCTCTCCTTCAGGATCAGATCCTCTCCACTTCGCCAACTTCGCCAACGTCGCCAGATTTCGCAGCCGGTGGAACTGCTTCGTCCGTGAAAGTGCCAGCAGTAGTACTAGGCGAGGAGTCAGCAATAGAGAGGTCCGGGAGAGTGTATAGACACGACGACTGGGCGCAACGGCCGCATTCTCAAGCCGACCCTAATCGACTCGCGGTTGATCGCGAACAACCAGAGTCGGCATTAGAAGCCGAGTCAGGAATAGTTACTAAGTCCGGGAGAGTATATAGACACGACGACTGGGAGGGTCGCTCGCAATCTCACGACGCGGATTCGCGCCATTCTCCTGCTCGCTCTCGCTCCCCTCTCGCCGCTGGCTCTAGTACCTCCCCTCCCGCCGTGCTCTCAACCGGTACGAACGCTTCGCCTGTTGACGTCGCCGCTGCATCATCCCTGCGAAATCACCTCGCATCGTTACCACCGAATTCAAGGATTTCGCCAACTCCGGAATCGCCATCCCCAGAACCGCCTTCCTCTTACCCCAGTGACGGGTCTCCTCCGCCTTCCATCAGCCCTCCGCCTTCCATCAGCCCTCCGCCTTCCGTCAGCCCTCATACCTCCGACCCTCCCTTCTCGAACCTTCATCCCGCCGGCCCTCCTCCTTCCGACCCTCCTCTCCCCAGCCCTCCTGTCACCAGCCCTCCTCCCTCCGAACCTCCTCCCTCCGACCCTCCCATCTCCAACCCTCCACCAGCCCTCTGGACCCGAATTCCCGGTTCCGTGCTCGATTCCCCCGAAAAAATCCACAGATTTCGAGAGAGATTCGAGTGCATAGGGCGGGAGGGAGAGTGGTCGCACTACGTGACCCCGCGCTACCTCCCATGGCCGGACGAGATGAGCAAGTGCGATGAGGGCCATCTGAAGAAGAGCTCGAGACACGTGGTGTTTCAAGTCGCGGATCGTGTGGTTACACGGATACAAGAAGTTACGGCAGAGATTGGGGAGATTATTAACCGCAATTGTGATCAGCAGGGGAAAGGGGCGGAGAGGCAACAGGCTAACCAGCTGAAACAGCTCAAGCGGCAGTGGGAGGGTCTTATACGCCAGTGGAATGTCAGAGAGACTCTTAAGTACTCCTGGAAGGTTCCAGAAAACGATGCGGAGGGAGCAGATGGTATTTCTGGCAGCAAGTGCGGCGGACCTTGGGAATCTTTCGATCCGCAAAGATTTTGCCAGATTCTGGATGGGAAGCGTGTGCTTATAGTGGGTGACTCTATAAACATGCTTTTAGCAGATGCCATCAGATTCAATATAAGACTAGGCGCTAAGGACCAGGATTCCAGGGTCCAGTGGGGCGAGCCGACAGGCTACTGCCATCGGTTCCGGAATGCAACTAGAGAGCCACCGGAGCACAAATGCTGGACGCTCGATCTCTGCGGGGACTTGGGCCTCTCCGTGCGGCTGTTCTACATCCGAGACTACTATCTGAATTCGACAGAAGCCCTCAACGATTTCATGGTCAATTGGAAATTTGACGAGTCCTGGATGGGCGACATTGGAGCTCAGAATATCTCGGTAGTGGTGATGAACCGAGGCGTGCACTACATTCAGGACGACCAGTTTCAGAGACAGATGTGGTCCACGCTGCTGGCGCTGAGGCAGACATACCCCGACCTGCTGATTATCGTCCGGAACACCCCGGCTGGCCATCCTGGGTGCTGGCTTCACAAGAAGCCGGTGAAGCAGCCGCTGCATCTGCCGCATACTGACTGGCACTGGGACGGGTATGCGGCTCAGAATGAGATTTTGAAGCGGCTGGCGGAGGGCGTGGGAGGGGTGTACATGGATGTGAATGCGTCGGCTGTGTGGCGGGCGGATGGGCATGTGGGGAGGTGGGATTGCCTGCATTACTGCCACCCAGGGCCTGTGGACACGTGGGTGCAGCTGCTGCATAATATGTTGATAGGACTGTTGGTTGGAAGCAGTTGAGAGTGGTTCAGTGGGGCAAGTGCCTGCACTACTGCCACCCAGGGCTGGTCAGTACTTCGGTGCAGCTGCTGCACAGTATGCTGCTGGGGCTCCTGGTTGAGAGCGGTTGAGAGTGATTTAGTGAGGCAGAATGGCAGGTGGGACTTCCTTAATTTCTGCCTCCCTCCCAGGGCCGGTATAAAATACCCACCCAGGTGCAGATGCGGCATAACATGCTGCTGGAATTCCTGGTCTGGTTGAAAGTGTGTGTGCAGCAGGGGTGTGAGATGCTGACACCTGATTTTGGTGGGACTGCCTGCATTACTGGTGCCCCTGCACTACTAGACATAAAATAGCATGTGATTAATTCCTGCGAGCAACGCATGTCAACGTATACATATGTTAGTATGTAGAAGTTATAGGCTAGAAAGGCGTATGTTCTTAGAGAGGACAACTCCAACTCTATACCTTGCTTGTTCTCTCTTGTTTCTAATCATTCCAGTCAGGGTCTCAGATATCAGACGAAATCGATCTGATGGTCTGAAAATCAGACCTGTTTTTTCTCATTCATCTGATTTTTTTACGGGCTAAATTAATTCATCTGATCGTCCAGATAAGCCATAAGATTTCGTCTGAAAGTACAGACTAGGTGTAGAATTTCGTCTGAGAATTCAGATAGCGCGGATTTTTTCGTCTGATACATTCCTCCTCTCCCCAACGCCCCTTCCCCAACCCCCCCCTCCCCCCGACTCCCGTCCCCTACAACCAAGAGTTTTTCCGGCTAAGTCCTCCAGACCAGACATATTCCTCCACATACCCCTCGCAGCAATAAAATTTCCGCGAAGTCCCTGAAACCAGAGACATGCCTCTTCACACCACGCACAACCCCTAAAATTCAGCTAAGACCCCTATTGCGAGATACATTTTGCCACACACCCCTCAAGCCATGTTTTTCCGATGAAGTCCCTCACAGCTAGACCATGAAATTTTGGCTAAAGACCCTCCCACCCCATCCCCCCCCCCCCTCCCGTATACCTGCGATGGCGGTGCGTAAAGTGAGGGTTGCTTGCTTGTGCGTGACACGTCACGTTACGTGCGAGGCCCTGGAACTGTAGGCAGATACAGTACGCAGGCCCTGGTCAATCTCCCCAGGCTCGCGCTAAAATTTCTATGCAAAACGGTTCAATGCGGTTCCGCGTGGTCTGATTCGGGGTCGTGACTGTCAAGGTTCAGGCCCCGTTTTCAAACTTCTCAGGCGCGCCTTTTTGAGACAGGCACGCATCCGTACAGTACGATTTTTACCAGAGCAGATTCGAAGCAGCTGAGAATAGTGATACTGAAACAATTTCTGCTTGACAAGGAACCTTCGAACGTGCTCGTAGGCGGGTCCAAGTCTGGGAAGAAGAAGTTCGGAGGAACAGGCTTTCCGCAGGAAATAAGGAAACAGAAAATTGAAGTCTAAATTGCAAGTGGCGAAGTTTCTTGCGGAAATTTTTTCGTCTGAATGTTCAGACTTACGGGAAAAATTCGTTTGAAATCTCAGACTCCTTGAAAATGTTCGTCTGATGGTCAGACAAAACTTTGGAAACCCGTCTGATTTTCAGACAGCCCTAAATCCTAGCTGAAACCCTGATTCCAGTATTCTAACATGGTATCATGAGTAAGTTAGGTCCCCCACCCGCTTCCGCCCCGCGCCCTAGCCTCTCACGCCTAGCCGGCCCCTTCGCGCCTAGCTGGCCCCTCGCGCTGTCGCCAGCCCCTCACGCCGTCGCTAGCCCCTCGCGCCGCCGCTCGCCCCTCGTGCCTAGCCGGCTCCACGCGCCGTCGCGACGTAGTCGGCCCCTTCGCGCCCTAGCCAGCCCCTCGCGCCGTCGCCGGCCCCTCGCGCCCTCGTCGGCCCCCTTCGCGCCCCAGCCGGCCCCTCGAGCCCTAGTCGGTCCTTCGCGCCCTAGTCGGCCCCTCGCGCCCTAGTTGGCCCCGCGCGCCCAGCCGCCCCCTCGCGCCCTTGTAGGCCCCTTCGCGCCCCAGCCGGCCCCTCGCACCCTAGTCGGCCCCTACGCGCCCAGCCGGCCCCGCGCGCCCAGCCGGCCCCTCGCGCCCTCTTCGGCCCCTCGCGCCCAAGTCAGCCCCGCGCGCCCAGCCGGCCCCTCGTGCCCTAGTCGGTCCCTCACACCCTAGTCGGCCCCGTGCGCCCAGCCGGCCCCTTGTGCCCTAGTCGCCCCCCCCCCCCCCCCCCCCCCCCCCCCCCCCCCCGCGCCCTAGTCGGCCCCGCACGCCCAGCCGCCCCCCCCTCGCGCCCTAGCCGGCCCCTCGTGCCCTAGCCGGCCCCTCGTGCCCTATCCGGCCCCTCGCGCCCTAGCCGGCCCCTTGCGCCCTAGCCGGCCCCTTGTGCCTAGCCGCCCCCTACTGCCTGTCCGGCCCCTCGTGCGCCTCGGCCCTCCTTTCGCGCCCTCCGACTCCTCGCGTGCCCTGTTCCTGCTCCGGCACGTCCAGCCGCCACGTCGTTGTACCACCGTGCAGCTGAGTCCCTGTGTCCCTGTGCCGCTGAGCCACTGTGTCGATGTGCCGCTGTGCCCCTGTGCCGCTGAGCCGATGTGGCGCTGTGTCCCTGTGCCGCCACAGTTTCGCGATGGCGGACGCCATGCTATGTCTGGACGCGGAGGGGCACGCGATTGACTTCGCCGCCTGGCTTGTCGATCTTCGTCGGAATCTCACAGGTCAGCGCCAGGATGGGCACTCCCTGGCTATGCATGTTGATGGCCTGCTTCCCCGCCCCTCCGCGCCTGATCCCCTCCCTGCTGACCCCACCATTGCTGAGACTGAGGCCTTTGCTGCTGCGGCGCTAAGTCGCGCTGTCTGGGATTCCCGCGATGCTGTAGCGCAGCTTGCCATTAGCCATGCCCTTCCCCTCTCTGAGCGGCCGCGTTTTACTGTTGTCGCAAACGCCAAAAATTTCTTAGATGCAGTAGTTGCCCGCTACTCCAGGCCTGCCTCTGCCTCAACTGGATACTTGATCCTCCCCATGCTCTTCCCTGATCTCTCTGCTTTCCCCACTGTTGCTGATCTCGTCACTCACCTTCGTGCACTAGAGACTAGCTATCGCGCTGCTAGCACCACTGCCTAGCTCACTGCTTCCCCCCGCCGTACTGCGCTACCCTGTATCTTATTGCCATGCGCCTGCCTGACGGCATAGCCACTGACCGTGACCACTTCCTTAGCCAGCACCCTGGTGACCTCACCCTAACCGCGTTTACCGCTGCCCTTTCTGAGATAGAGAATCGCAAGTGCACTATCGCTCAGTCGAGCGATGTTGCGGCAGTCCCTATCTTTCAGGGTTGTGCTCCTTCCCAGTGCACGTACGCTGACGTTTCCACTGCTGTGGCTGCTGCTGCGCCTGCCGCTGAGACCGCAGCGGCGGCCTTTCCGCAGCAGCAGCGACAGCGTCGGGGCCGTCGCGGCCCCAAGGGAGGGCGTGGCGGTGGTGGCGGCGACAGTGGATCTGACGAGGGGGCTGGGGCAGGCATCCAAGAGCAGCAGCAGTCGCAGCAGACACCGCCGTAGTAGCAGCAGCAGCAGCAGCCGCCGCAGCCGCAGCAGCAGTGGGCCCGCCTCCCACCGGGGTGGCCCAGAGCCTCTGGACGGAAAGGCCGCGGTGGCGGTCCTCGCAGATCGGCGTCTATCGGCGGCTTCAGTAATGTGGGCTGCCAGTACCAGATCCAGACTGGGCCCCTTCGTGGCACTGTGTGCTCCCGTCCGCACCCGACCGCCCGCTGCTTCCGCCGCCTCGACGACCTCTTTCGTCGCTGCTTCGGTCCCGCCCCAGACCTCCCAGTCTGCTGTGCCACGGTGTGCCTGTTTTTGACTTAGACATGGATCAGATTAGTTATGCCTTGCACTCCCTGTATGCTGACGCTTCTAGTGTGTCCGCATCTTATTACTCTGTGTTCTCTAGCTTAGGTGTAGCACCTATGTGTAGTCCAGAAACCCCTGCTGCATCAGGCGTAGGACAGTTTGCCTTGTCTAGTCTAGGCTCCACACTCGCTCCTTCTTCGTCTGCTGCTTCTACTTCGCTGTCCTTCACACTTGACTCCTGTGCGTCTGCCTACTTCTTCCATGACCATGCTACACTTACGCCGCTTGCCGCGTCTGCCACTGTCGCACTTGCTGACACCTCCTCCGGTCCTGTAGTTGCCCGCTGCTACACTACTCTTCCCTGTCCAGCGGTCCCCTCGGGTTCCCTTATAGGGAGTACACTATAGACAGCCGTGCAGGCCCTGCGTTCCGGGAGAACGAGGGGATGTGCTCCCCGCCGTGCAGGCCCTGCGTCGAGGGCCGGCTCCGCTGTGCTCCTCACTCCTCCTCGCTTCGTCCTGCCACCGCGCCCCTCCAGACCCTGCACCTGGACGTCTGGGGCCAGCCCCCGCCCCTCGACCGCGTCGCAAGCGCTACTTTCTAGTTCTCGTTGATGACTACACACGCTACACCACCGTGTTTCCCTTGGAGCGGAAGGCCACCGTGTTTGACCTTCTTATCTCGTGGGTCATAGCTGCGCGCCTCCACCGCAGTCTCCCTGTGCTGTGTCTCCACTCCGACCATGGCGGCAAGTTCGCGTGTAGTTGGCTTGGACAGTTCTGTCGTGCGGAGGGCATCACCCAGTCGTACATCCTACCGGAATCCCCGCAGCAGAATGGGGTCGCTGGGCGACGCATCGGCTTGGTCATGGAGGTGGCTCGTACCTCCATGATCCATGCCGGTGCACCCCATTTTATGTGGCCGTTCACCGTTCGCTACGCCGTTCACCAGCTTAACCTCTGGCCGCGCCCCAATCGGCCGCAGGTTTTGCTAACCCTTGTTTGGACCGGGTTACCTGGTGACGCGTCCGTGTTCCACGTCTGGGGCTGCCTCGCTTACGTTCGTGCCTCTAACACGGACAAGCTCATTGGCCGCACTGTCCCCTATGTCTTCCTCAGTTTCCCCCTGGACCCCTCTGACTGGCACTTTTACCACCCGACGTCTCACCGCTTCTTTCACTCCCGTGACGCCACTTTAACGAGTTTGTCTCTTTTTACCACCGCTTTCCCCACTGAGGTCTCCCGGTTTCCCCTCCCCTGTTTCTGGTCCCCACTCCCCCGGTAGCCCCTGCTCACCTTCCTCCCCATCCTGCTCCGTCTAGTGTGTCTCATGTGACTCCCCTCCCGTAGGTTGTCCCGGTCGAGGAGTCGGCTGACTCTGGTGGCCCTGCGGCACAGTTTTTTATGCCCGTCTCTCCCCCGGTGTCTCCTCCTCCGCCATCGCAGCCGCCGCCGCCACAGCCGTCGCCGCCGTCACAGCAGCAGCAGCCGTTCGTGGCTTTTGGGGGAGCCGGAGTTGAGGAGGGTGCTAGTCCTGGGGTTCCTGTCGTCGCTTGTCCCGGCGGGCTCGGGGGTGGCACCGGTGCTGGAGAGGGTTCTTGCTCGGGGGGTGCTGGAACAGAGTGTTCCGGAGGTAGCCGCGGTGCAGCTG